GCGTGAATAAGTAGGTGCGCAAATCAGCGGAAACAAAGAGAAAATATATGCGCTCGTTTCGTTAATATTCCCTGGGATAACCGGCGCGTTGTTGTGTACTAATCCCGACGCGATTCGGCACTCGGGATCCCCTCGAGTCGTCTCGCGAAACAAACTTCCACGTCGAGTGATACTGCTCCGTGTCGCTGTCGCTTCTACGAAAAGAAAAAGGAGCAAAAAGTACATATAAATACATGCGCGATGTAAAACTCACTGATAATTTCATATGGAGATCCTCGAGATTCTGTGTGTGCAGTACGAAAATACGCTGCGGAAGTACGAGACGTTTCGTGCTCCCTGTTCTCTCCCCTCTCCTCGTCTCTCGCAAAAGGAAACAATATTCTTCCTTCTCCGTACCTAATAGAGGGATCTTGCCTGAGCCGTATTATCCTGGTGAAAAATTCACGGTCTCTAAAAGCACGACCATTCGGCTCTTCTGGTCTCGGTCGATCGTCTTGTATATTCGCCGTGTTCCGTTGGCCCGGAATCCACATTTCCATAAGAGCACCGGCGCCGTTATCGCGGGGGACGGAGTCGCGATCGAATCTCTTATCATTCTGCCATCTCTCTCGAAACGATCTTGTGTGTGCTCGCGTATCGACGCTCCTCTAACGATGTTACAATGCGCCGATCGATGAGCATAATTCACGAGCGATGTTCCGTGAGCCCGCTGGCTCTTTCATTTCTCGCTCCGCGCGTTCTGTTAGACTCCACGTGATACTTGAATTATGTACGTCCCACGCTCGTTAGAAACGACATGGAACCGCGCGACTGTCGTCGCGCCGTTACGAATACAGGCAACGCCAGGCACGATACGGCATAATCGCGTAACATTCGAGATATCTCGCGACGTTAATAGATAGCTTGCAAAGAGAGCGAGACGTACGTGTGCACCCGAGTTTCTCTCAGAAAGTGCGGAATAAAGTGTCTCGCGGAACGCCCCGCATTTTTGCCGCGGCAATTTTTCGGAACAATCTACTCGAATTTTTTTATTGCAGAAAATTTGCGATGCTTTCGTTGCAGTGCCCGTAGAAATGTAATTGGCCGCTCTTTTGTAAAATTTTCGCGTAAATCTCTCTCTCACTCTTCATAAAAGAAGAAAAGAAGTAAACGAACAAACGTTTATCGTCCGTTGCAACACATCGCGCGTGCGGAAAATTGACGAAATTGTTTTCGCTACGCAGTCTCTTACCTCGTGGGAGCGGCCCGACGTATTCATTGATCTGCGTCAATTACGGCACGTAATAGAGGCGTTACTCTAACCGGTCGTTCTTTTGTAGTCGTAAAAAAATTCAGCACGTCGTAAGAATATACTTACCAAGTCCAAGTCCTATGCGTCCCTCGCGCACTCGCACCCTCGCGCACCTCTCCTCGCCTCATCCGTGCAATCTTCGTAAAAATAGAGGAAGTAAATTGCCACGCGGGAGAACGGAAGGGTCGAGGGGGGGAGAGCTTCCGCTATCATCGTTCATCATTAAACATTTTATACACTCGCGAACTCTCCGCGGAAATTGCAACGTCTTATCCGCAAATATTTCATCAGGTCGAATCAGACATTAATCGTACAGTGACTCGTTTCAATTTGCAGTAGTAATAATCAGTGTGTGTACGTGTGTGTGTGTGTGTATTACGGCTCGTCGATTAATTATGTCGTTGCAACAATGGCGTTGCAACGACGTTAGACGGGAAAATTGAGAAAGAGGAGGAGGAGGATCGTCGCGCCGAATACTGGAAGGTCTTATTCGCCTGCGTCCTTATTCCGCGCCGTGCTCGCGCGAGCGCAAATTTAAAGGCTACTTGCATAATTTCGAGGAGCGCTCTCGAAATGATAGCGACATATTTCAGCCGGAGTGAGAGTGCTCTTTTCACCACTCGGCCCGCACGAATTATTGGTACTTTCGTGACACGGTACGTACGTGCAACTGGCTCGTGACTTGTGCGTATTTTATCTTGGTATATTAATTAACTCCGTCGGGGAGCTTCGCCAGAGTTTTTGCCCTCGCCGGGCGGCCAAACGTGCGCCGCCGCTGCGCGAAGCCGCGAAATTCACTTGAGCGATTATAAATGCGCTGAAATGAAACAAATAGAAGAAAACGGTCCTCCACCAGCCGCTGGTGGGGGCCAGAAAAAATATACGAGCCAGCCGGATATAAGCGATTATCATTTCTCCTCGCTTAAATATTTATTCCGGATCTGCCCATCCAGATGTGATTTTTGAAAATATTATCTATTAAAATAAACGACAGAGCTGCCTTTTAATGCTCCACGATAATTGCGTTCTCGTTTCCGCGTCGCGGAAAAATGTCAGTGCTCTATCAATATAAACAATTTCCATCAATATAATTATCATGGCATAGTTTTTTTTTATTTTTTTTGTCCCATATTGTTTCATCTATGAATGAAAATCGATAAATGCAACGGCAAGCATAACATTGTTTTGTCTTTCTCTCTCTTCCATTCTCTCGTTTTTTTTTTTTTTTATATTGTAATTCGTCAATACGCAGGTAATGAACTATTCCGCAGTCGCGAATGTAAAAAATTTGTACCGTTGTTTTATATCTTATTCGTTTGTTTCATATTTTTCCGGTATCGGGGGTTTTTTATTTCCATTTTTGTTGAATATGTCAAAACTGAAACGCTATAGAGAATTCGGCTGCATTTGAGATGCACGTAGCTATAAAGCACTATGGCACTTGCCACAATTTGTTTTGCGAAATAAATATATTTGCCTATTAAGCGAATAAAACGACATCGATATGATGTCGTTTGTTACTCGTTTTGTAGCGCGTCGCGTATGCACGGTCGGTAGTATACCGCCGACACCGCGCATACACGGTCGTACCAAGAAGCGTTTGTTTACATCTGCCAAACCAATTTGTCGTTTTAACAAAATAAATTGCAAATTCGCGTAACGCGATTCCCTCCACCGAATTGACAGAACGCGTCTCCTGGTGTGAATTGCAGTTCAAATTGAATAGCGAATCGCGTCCCGTTTTTTCGCTCCCACCACGCGACACTTCAAGGTTAATTAAAAAGTGTCATTATTTATTTAACTACCGCGTATAACTACGCGCTTACACCTCGAATGCAATTACGCTGCGCGCGCGAACAAATCGTCGGGTCGACAGACACCACCACTTCTGCGACGTGTGTGTGTGTTTAAAGCTCTCTTTGACGCTCATCGTGCTGGCAAAAAATCCGCGGCGGTCGAGGATCGTCTGATCGTTGTCAAAGAATTTTGAGGGCGAAAAATGCGGTTTCTCTAAGCCGCGAGAAGGGACGACTACGGGAGCTGTTCTCGAAGTAACTCGTTACGTGCCGCGACGAGTCTGGGCGAGTCTGTAACGTTAACTTAATACCTCGCGTTGCCATTGCGGAAGGTAAGGAAATCCGACGTGTACTTAATAAGTTTTCGGTAATAACCGGAGTTCATGGATCTCCCTCTCTTTCTCTCTCGACTTTGCTCCACCAAACCGGTACTCTTATTACCCGCCTACTCTATAAAAGCTCTCTCCGTGCCTCTCTCTCTCTCTCTCTCTCTCGTCGGGACGCGTAATCTTAATAACTGCCGAGATTTCAGCTCAGGCAATAACTATCAAGGGGAATTTACTCGGGACACTTTAAAAATTGCGAAGCGATAACAAATCTCCGATTCCGACGGAGCCATCGTTTTCCGCGCAGCAGATAAAAATCGAGACCCGCAGCTCCCCCGACGATCTCGTCGCACGGAAGATTGATTTGCTTTAATTGTTTATGGAAACTTGCCTCGAGAATACAATATTAGATGTAGGGTCTGTCCTTCATGAGGAAACGATTCAAATCGAAATATCGAGTGACGCGTGTCTCGCGCGTTTGAAATCTATTCGAGGGAGAAGTCGCGTGAAATCGCGCCGTTGACGCCGCTTTTACGCCGCTTGAATTTTACGTTAGCGTGCGACGTCGAGGGTCGGGGAGAACGTGAAATATGAATCTTGGTCGGGGCGAGCAGTCAACGAAACCGAGATAATCAAACGCCGCTATCTACCATTGCTCTCTGTAAATCCCAGAAGCAATAAAGCTGCGGCGGCGGGACGAGTCAGTGGATGAGGAG